TAAATTGCTGAATGACATTAAAATCAAGTGAACTAAATGGTGTTTTTAGGTTAGATGGGTGAAGGGTATCTCTGTTCCAAGAAATGTATTTGTATATTGAGCAAATTTAAATTGAAAATTGGAAATACACATATTTTACAATGCTTCTCTTCTAGCTTATGGTGCTGTCACATGTTATTGTGATTTAATTGATAAGGGTGGCATTTCAGTTTGTCTGTCATGTTGAAAAGCAGAGCAAGCATGTTGAACAAATCGGTGTTGCCAGGATTGGAAACAGTGGTTATAGAAGCTAGAACAGGAAAGTATCTGGGAGAGGTTTTTAAGGATTTTATTGATAAACCTATATATTGGACAGATTCCTTAATTGTTCTGTAATGAAGAAAGGGTTCTGTGGAACAATGGTAACAGACTGTTTCCATTGGAACAGAGTGGATGAAATGCACGAAAAATCAGATCTCAGATCTTGGAATCAATGTAGTGGAAAGGCTAATCCCGTTGATTAGTAAAGATATGCCAGCTCAGTATTTATTGGAAGATGAGCATTGGTGGTATGGTCCACACTGACTGAAAAGAAATTAATAGTTTTTTTACTAAGCATCTAGTGAAGGATATACCATAAGAAATAACAGAAACTGAGTGAAAAGGAACTAAGGTGCATACTGCTGTGATTAAGAATTATGTGATAGACAAAGTGCTTCATAAATATTCTTCTTGGACAAAACTTTTACAAGTTACAACTTGATATCTTAGATTTATTGCCAATCTTAAACAGTCATCAATGATAAGGATAAAATCAAGTTTCCTCCCTATTAGAGGCTTGTTGTAGATCATTCTTAGATAATAAACTCTGTGCAAATGCAAGAATTTAGTAAAGAAATCAATCATTTGAAAAAGAAAAAAAATAATAATAAGTCCCCACAGTAAACTCAGCATCTTATACCCATTCTTAGATGATGAGGGTATTCTCATATTGTAAGGAAGACTTAGAAATGCTAACAAATAGCACAGAATGTAAAATATCAAGTCATTCTGCCTAAATTTTCCTGAGCTATATTCCCAAACTGATAATAGAACATTATAAGTATCTACACAGAGGGACACGGAAGCTAAATTTAGGAATCACACAGAAATACTCGATTAATAATACACGAGCATTTATTACCTTGTTTATTTTTCAGAATCAAAATCTTTTTAAGTCACCAAAATGGAAAGTAACATCAGTTTAAAATTCAAAGGGTAAAATAAAAATGCATTATTTTATTGTTATTTCTTAAACATAATTTTAATGTATTATCATTATTTTAATGATAGTTATCAATGTTATGATGTTTGTAAAAGAAATCCTGGAAAACTTCGCAAATCAAATAAAAAATTTAGTGTTCAAACTGATTTTTGACATTGCCAAAATGTTAAAAAGTCACCAACTTTAGCACCACATAATTAAAGGAAGTCATATCCCCAAACGAGAAAAGTTGTTTTTGATATAATAAATTATGAACTTTTCATTTACGAAAAAAAAAAAAAGCAAAAAATATCTTTCCCAAATTTTAATTCACACTCAAAATAGCAGTTGTAAAAAACAGACAGAAATGTCAGATGAGCAAAACTGTCTTTTGAACATGCCGGCCAAAATTAAGAATTTTTAAAGAACAAAAATCATTTTAAAAAAATCTTAGGACTTTTAAGTACTTTTAAGGATTCTAAAAACCCTGTATTCAGATGCTGATTCGGAACAAAGTAGTATTAAAAACAGAAAATCCGCATCACGAAGTGTAATCTTATAAAACAGCAACTGCATTTCATGGTTTTCAAGAAAGCAAACAAATGTCTCTTTATCCTAAGCACAAGCTAAATATGTTGCACATTCATAACCTATGCAAGTTAATGTGGCTACTAAAACTAACAGAAGATTTTATTCTACCTTAAAAATCTACTGATAAAAATTTTTGAAGATAATCAATCAACAATGAAACTTGTTGAATCTAAAAAGTACAGTTCACGTACAAAATGCATTGACACCAAATTTCATTATATACAGAATTTTCAAAATAAGAATATTACAAACATATCTTATCTTTCAACAGATCAAATGATTACTGATATCATGGATAAACCAATTCCTATAGTAACAGTTCAATTTTGCAACAGGACAAACTGTGATCCATTCTATTATTCTGTTTCTTTATGCAAATGTTCCTGTAGCAAGCACACAGCCTAAAATGTATGTCAAATATGTAGGAACTGAATTTTATGTGTCTTTTGAATACTATTTAGCTTATTAACTCACTTTAAATGTTAATTTAAAATGAGTTAATAAGCTAAATATCTTCTTTCAACAGATCAAATGATTACTGATATCATGGATAAACCAATTCCTATAGTAACAGTTCAATTTTGCAACAGGACTAACTGTGATCCATTCTATTATTCTGTTTCTTTATGCAAATGTTCCTGTAGCAAGCACACAGCCTAAAATGTATGTCAAATATGTAGGAACTGAATTTTATGTGTCTTTTGAATACTATTTAGCTTATTAACTCATTTTAAATGTTTGTGAAGGTTTCAACTTATGATTTTGTTCTGCTGAAATTGAGTAATATTTCTTTCTTCTTAAATAAAGAATTTATATTTATTATAACTTTTGATTCTTTATAACTTTGCTAAAAACTACTTACTCAGTGCCTTAGCAATGTATTTAAAGTACACACAGATCAAAAACAAATTATATCGTAGAAATTTTGAATGAAGTAGAGGCTTACTATAGCTTAAGCACAGTCAAGTGGTGGTTATAGACAAGAAAGTGTCAGAAGCTGCTGACTCCTAAAAAGAGTTACCATATATTTTTATGGAAGGAAATTTTACATCTGAACAATACAATCTTCATAATTTTTTACTTATGCATCTAAGCCAGTGATTCTCAACCACTGTGCTGAGTGCCGCCAAATTTTAGAAATGTATATAGTAAAAATTTATAATGGGTTTAATCGTAGTATATGGTACATGTGAGAATAGGCGAAATTTGGTTTTTAAGACATTAATAAGTGCGTCAATTATAGTATCCAAGCTGATTTTGGTGTCCAAATTAACTTTGGAAGAAGTGGAAGAATTAATTTTGCTTTATAATAATCAAGATTTAATTTTAAAATATTCAGAAGACTCAATTAATTCATTTTGGATTAACTTTAGATGCAATTATCCCATGATGGCCAAAAAAGCTTTAAAAATATTATTACTGTTTTCTACATCTTATTTGTGTGAATTTGGATTTTCAATATTAACCAACATAAAAACTAGAGACTGTTAAATGTAGAAGATGATATGAAAGTAGCATTGCCATTTTTACGATCAAATATAAATGAATTATCAAAGACATCAAGCTCAAATTTCTCATTAAAAGTATTCTTATTATTAACTTGTAATTAATCACTTAGTAAACGTACTGCTGTTTTGTAGAACATATTATTTTATTTTGCATTCAAAATTATTATCATAACTATTTTACACAGTGTATTTATAAATAAGTAAACAGCTTTAAAACTTGTAGGGTTTATATTTATTTTAACTAACATTTATTTTAAGTTTAAACTATCTTTCCTGTCAAGCCTTACTTTCCCCTGGAACTGCCAATGCCAGAGTATGTAAATTTTAGTAGAACGCGCAAGGATTCAAATTATGAGCGGAAGTATTGTGAGTTAAATAGAAAGGAAACGAGTTCGAGGTGTGCTGTTCTTACTTCACGAGCGCGGAGGTAGTTATCCAGAAATTGAAGAACCCCGCGTTTCGGTCTGTGTGCTTGCCTCGGAGAATGGTTAATCGTTCAACGTGATATTCAAAGTTTGCTGAATTAGCAGCGGTATTGTAAAATGCGGTGAGGTTAGTTACTTTTAGAGAGCCTCGTAGTTAGAGTCTTGTTATTATTTCTTTTCAGGTTCTTATTTTTATTTTACCGCCGGGTCAGCGTAGTTTGTGAGCGTCAAGAGCACACAATTGTAATGTCTTAAGTTGAATAAAAAGGGACTTAAACCCTTAGCAAGACTGTCTATTTTCCAGTTTCAACAGTCACCTCTTGGTTGCGTGCAGGTTGGAGGCAAGCAACTCTACAAACTTATCTTTTTCTTGCTGCCCAATTTTGAAATCGTTTAAAGTGTGCCACAACAAAAAAAGATTGAGAATCGCTGATCTAAGCCTTCAGGAATGAATTATGTTTGTCAACACAGCTTTTGCTGTGTGACAGTATTCCTGAGAAACCGAGACACAAGGTTAGTAATAAAACTAACTTAATTTAAAATCATTCATACATGGTTTTTTACTACAGCAATATTATTTATGTAGATGGTCTTGAAGATAATAATGGTATTTTGTGTTATGCTATATTTGATAAAATACTCACCTGTGAACTGAGAGGTTATTATGAGAGGACTTCGATTATTTCTATTTTGAAAATGAGGAAAAAAATATCTACTAAATAAAAAATAAATTTAAAAAAAATCAGAAAATTTAATTAAGCCTTTCAGTACAGAATAAAGGCAAAATGTGCCCTACTCTCAACTAAAGGTATTAAATGTCCTCAAGCCCCTGATGAACGAACAGAAATTAAGAAGAAATTAAATAAAAGTACTCACCTGAGGACAAAATAATCGAAGTTCAATTCCTGATTGAGAAAGATAGCAACATCCAATCAAAAAAAAAAAAAAAACTTAATAATTAAAATGACATGTTTATTTTTAGAGCATGGCACATAGGCTAAATGTGCAAGAATCACCCAGACCACTATATATAAATAAATAGAAATAGATAAAAAAAAACAGAAATTATATACATAACTTCAAGACACAGCACTTAACTATCAGGTGAAAGATTCGGTGATCCCCAAATAAGTTAAAAGAATTAAAAAGCAATAAGATATTTTGCATGGGTGAATGAACACAATGAAACTTGACAGTACAAATTCTAAATAAACAAGAATGAAAAGTATGCATAAACTTCACATGAATTTATACCTTCAAGATCTGGGTGCATAAGGGGTAAGTAGTCCGGAATATGCTCCGGCCTCACCAGAAGCTCACGACTTTCTGGCTTTGGATGCTGCAAATTTGGAGGATGTTTTATGGGAAATGAAGGAACCTTATGAGGAAATGGCACAGCTTCAACATTGCTAATGTATTCTTCAATCTGGTGAAGAGGAATTCCAAAGTCTTTAAATGTTAACCCCAGATCATCAAGATTGGGTTCTGTTCTGTTATCTAAAGAGAAAGCATGCTTTAATATAGGTTAGAGAAAGGATCTTTGTTTGTCCCTACAAATATTAAGAGCATAGTGAATTTCTTTTTGTAATAAATTTTAAATTTAATAGTATGTTTTATAAAATATAAAAGAATTTAATCACATAGGTATGAGATGTTTCAAACACTAAGATACTTTAATTTTTTAAAAAAAGAAAATTAAGGATTTTTAAATTAAGGATTAATAAGCTCAATACAATCAAACCACATTAACTTATCAGATTCCAATAATTCAGAAAGCAACAATTCAAACCAAATATTCAATTTGTGAACAAATGAAACCATAACAAATCTTAAAATTCTTGCTGAATCTGACATTTAAAGCACAAGGGGGAAAAAGTTTAGATTTAGAATATAATATTAAATAGAAGGTACAAGTGTACTTTCATTTTATATATATTGATATGATAAATGAAATATGTTTCTTAAATGTACATTTAATGCTATCAAAAAGGGGATATGGATATAAATTAACTTGAGAATAACAGCAGTTTGTAATTATTAACCAAACAGGATAACAAAGAGCAATCGCTTATATCTCAGCACTTAAATGAAAAAGAATAAAAATTCCTTTCAGAACATGACCTCAATCTAAAATAAAAAGCTCTGACAAAATTCACTTAAAACAAAAAAAAAAAAAAAAAAAGAAAGAAAGCTAAAATAACATAAGAAAAAGTCTAAGATGCAGCATTTGAAAATAGAAAACAAAGGTTGAATATTTAGATAATTATGCCTAAGCCTGCACATGTGTGAAATGTGCCAAAATGGAAGTTCTGAAAACTGGCTTTGTTTGGGAACACCACAGAAACTACAGACAGTCAGTCATTTTGGCTGTTAGGAACTAAGCCGAGCATCAACAATCACACACAGTTTTATTTTCTGATGGACCAAGAATGCAAGAAAAGTAATTTGAAATTTTGATATTAAAAATAATATAATATGGAATGAAATAAATATAAAACAAAGAAAAGGAATTTAATAAATTTAATGGGTTAGTCTATAATTTAGGGTGCCCCTTGGATTATCACCAAGTTGTTTCATTTATCGCCAAACTGTTGTCTCATTTATAGTAACCCAAGTAGTTGAATGTTATGGAAACCCTATTATGACATGATTGGTTGAGTGACTGCAGTGAATTTTATTGATGGGAAAATATTTGTAAGGCATTGGTTGTCAGTTTGGAAGTACATTGCTTATTTTGTGCTGTACACACTAAATGGTTATATATGGTGAGGTTCCTTTACGATTTAGAACAATTAATTGACTGATGTGTAAATGAAGGTTTACGTAGTAGTCATTATAAGTGTCCTGTTCGTACGAAGGAAATGCGTATGGTTGAACATAAAGATCATTCAGATGGCTTTGAATGGGTTTGTCGCAAGAAATGCCACCAACAGTCCAGCACTACGGAGGATATTTTTTACTCTTATTTTTGGTGACAGCAGTATGCATATTCCAGTTCAGATAATTTTAGAAAGTTTTTAGATGCTGTTAAGGAATTTTATGTGCCACAGACTGAAGACACAGAAATTTTTAAATATGGTAAGATGATACTTCCTTTTTGTAATGTGTATACGCGATAGCGTATATTTCCTGTTTCATTTTATTTCATCATGTGATTTAAAATGGAGTTTACTGAGCTTTGATAAGCTACAAATTTTGTTCAATTTTGGTGATGAGTAACTTTGTTCTAACATTATATGACATCATCATTCTCCTGATTTTTTTAAGTGAAAATAGATTGATGTGTACATGGACTCCAAGTTTATGCAATTCTTCGAAACCTTAAAGCAGCACCCTTAAATATCATATATTTTTACCATTTAATGCATTGAAATAAGGATTGTAGAGGACTTCTTTCGTGCAAAACACTATCATAATATATTCCATAGGAAATATAAAATTATTGAACAAAAATTTAACATCCCTCCAAATAACAATTTCCCCATAACTTTCAAACTTCCAGAATAAAGAATTTGTCAAAATTAAAGTTCAGTTTCAAATCATATTAAGATAATATATCGAAATTATTGTTTTTAAGATTTTGTAAGGTTTATGACTTTTTAAATAATGGGAAAAGTCTTTTAGGAAATTTAAAAAAAGAAAATTCAAGCTATGTCTGGATTATAATTTAAACGAGGGGTGATCCAAAAAAAGTGTACAAGGCAAATGAAAAAGTATTTATTAACAATAGAAACGAGATACAAATGAGAATCAAGAGACACATCTGGCCTTCACTTTTCCACATAGTCTCCAAACCTGATTAGGCATTTGTCAGAACGTTTGACCAACTTGTTTATCCCGTCTTGGTATTAATCAGGCCCTGCTCATTGAACCATTTCTCAGCAGCTGTTTTCACTGCATCGTTTGAGGTGAACCGTGTTCCGGATAAGTATCGCCTCAACGCCGGACAATTGAAATAGTCACTTGGAGCCAAATCGGAGCTGTATAGGAGGTGATTCCAGACCTCCCACTTGAACCTTTGCAGCAAATTCCTGAGTCTGGCGAGCTGTATGGGGCCTGGCATTGTCATGCAGAAGAATGATGCCTTTGCTCAGTAATCCAGGCCGTTTGTGTCCGATGGCTTTACGCAATTTCGTTAAGGTGGCACAGTAACGATCAGCCTTAATGGTATGGCCATGCTCCAAATACTCGTTTAGGATAACGCCAGTCGTATCCCAGAAAATGGTCGCCATCACTTTACCGGCAGAGGGTGTGACCTTAAACTTCTTCCTCGTCGGTGATCCAGCGTGTTTCCACTCCATCGTGGCTCTTTTGGATGTGGGGGTGAAGTGATGAAGCCATGTTTTCCTCACCGGTAACGATGGGATCAATGAAGTGTTGGCCGTCTGAATGGTATCGCTGAAGAAATGTGAGGCTGCACATCATTCGAGTGGCCTTATGCTCTGCGGACAACGCACGTGGAACCCAGCGGGCACAAACTTTGGAATATCGCAACTCATCGGTTACGATACGCTGAACGTTACCATAACTCAGGTCCAACTCTGAGGCAATCTCACGCACGGTTACTCGTCGATCCTTTGGATGATTTCTTTCTTCAACACGTGCCGTGTTGATATCCGTCCTTGAAGAACTTGGATGGCCGCTCGCTTCCATATTGCGATTTTCCACATGCTCCCTGCCCGCTTGATAAGAATGACACCATTTCGCTACCTGTTGTCTACTCATTGCTTTGTCCCCGTATACCTCAACGACCTATCTGTGAATTTCGGATGCGGCCACATTCTTGGCCCATAAGAATCGAATTACGGCTCGCACCTCTATGCAAGACCACTTTTCTAGACGTCGTGCCATTACTGTCGCTCTTAAGTGATTGCGCACTGATGCTACTTACTCGTAGAACCGCTGTAGGACAACTAGTGCCATCTGTCAACCACCCTGAGTGGAAATATTCGCTCCACAATTATGACGTTTCAAATGCTTCTGCTTGCAAACTTTTTTTTTTGATCAACCTACGTAATAAAGACCAACACAAAATACTAACGTGCATCTCCATATAAAAGCATTGAACCCTTCAAAACTTAACCGCTTAACAGTTTTACTTGTATGTCATACGGACAGTAATTTTTTGCACAGCCTTATTTGCCGAGCATCAAATTTCCAAAATTTTAGTTTTTGATTATCCTATATTATTTATTTTAGCTTGCTTTTTCCATTTCTAGATGATGTCACATGACCATAAGAACAACTTTGCAAGGGTTATTACTATTTATTATTATTATTTTTCTTTTTGCTACTGAATTCCCAGCAAAACATCTGCTTTCTAACAGAACACCTAAATCAGGTATTTATAACTTGAATCTACCCGTTCAATACATTTCTGGTCTCTGCTAATAAAAACACTCCCACTGTGACTGTCCTTCTAAAAACGGTTGTAATGAATGTTCATAATATACAGAAATTTATACCATAAAACATAAATCATATACTGCAAAGTATGCTTCAACTGAAAAGGAATTTCAAAGTTATCAACTGCCAAAAAAAAAAAAAAAAAAAAAAAAAAAAAAAAATGTCATTGCATCACCAGCTATTCAACTACAGTACAAATAGGGACAGCCAATAAACAAGAATATTATCTGGACCTCCTAGAACACTTTTTTTTTTCTCAGATACTCAAGAAAATGTATGTGCTCAGACTTTTCTGATTAGCTGAGAAATTCTCATCAAATATTACAAGCAATATTCCGCAAACTGCGCATCACAAGTTTAAAAAAAAAATTCTGATTTAATGGAAAAATACTATGTGAAGAATGCTACATAAAAAGGGATGATTCCAGGGAAAAAATTCTACTGAGATTTTTTTTTTTTTTTTTTTTTTTTTTTGTAAAAGTTTACAATGTGGTGCCCCTTGTTTTTTTGGTGATTCTTTTTTGAAGCCAAGCTCGGCGGCAGGAAGGCACATTTTCAAGATGGCTGCTACATAAAACCAAAATAAGAAGTAAAAAAAATCCACAAACTCAGTGTCCAGGTACACATCAATCTAGTTCCACATAAAAAATATCATGAAGCTAAAACCAAGTTAAAACTATCATGGGTACCATCTTGATAACCAGAAACAAGGTTTCATCACCAGAATTGAATAAATTTTGTCGTTAATCGAAGGGGCACCCAATTTTACACTAGAGCCACATTTTTAACCTGTAAAAGTAACAATAATGTTTATACCTGAAACTGAAACAAAGGTCAAAACAACTATTCTGTTGATAAAATAATTTCTTGCTAGTAAACCGACATTTTCTTCATAAATTTTCATTCTAATGGTTAGTGATAAAATACATACAGATGAAAAATTTTCCCAAACAAGTGTGAGCATGAAATTACCATGTTTACTTGCATAATAGTCAAACTTTTTTTGTTAATTTTTCATTGTGAAAGTCTAGGTGCGACTACTGTGCGGAAAAATCTATTACACAATATATTACACTTTTGACGATTTTTTC